CAACGTTTCAAACTAACGAACAAACAAACAGCGCAGACTCGGACGCGCTGCACAAACTGCGGAGGAAGAAAATCGAGTGACGTCAAGTTGCAGCGAATGAAAACCGCTTCCTGTCGAAGGTCCAGCCGCTTTCAAAATAAAAGCTTCAGTCACAGCAGAAAATAATGATTCAACATTTAGTGTTTGTTCCTAAATTCTTCTTCTACTGTCAGAGGTCGCAGTCTGACCGCGTGGAGGGAAAACAGGTTGTTATTCTAGTTCACAAAGAGACTAAATATTTAAGAGAATCCTGTTTGATCGCAGCTTAAAATGTGTTTTTACAAAATCGGTGGAGAAACATAAACAATCACATATAAATTAATCTTGTTGAACGTTTGTTTTCTCGGTGTGTTATAATTATTCAATTTAACGGTAAAGGAAGGTGTCTTATTATGAAGGGGTACCAGCTAGTTTCCGGTGTATGCGGCTAACTTTACATCCGCCTTTTTTCTATTTTTGCAGAAGCTGCAGGTTCCTTCCTGCTCCGCCTGAGCGCCAAACTGAATCATTTTCATGTGAACCAGAAGTGATCAATAACAGGCAGAAATAACAGAAGCTCCGTAATCAATAATCCCACAGACATAATAATACGTAAATAATCAATAACACAATAGAAATGTTAAATAATAAAACAAAAATAATCAGCACTGCTAATTAAACTGGATGTTTCAGGAGCAGTCAGAGGTTTTATTACTGATTAGGATCGTTATTTTATTGAAGTTGTTTTCAGTCATGTTGCTGGTTTTCACTTCTGAGCGCTTTTATTTTGAAGCTTCAGGCTCCTGTAGGCCGCTCTGATGTCTCCAGCTCTCATTGGATAATTGGCCCAGATTCTGACACCTGTGGGGGATAAAACACCTGAGTGTAAGTCTGTCTGTAATCTGGCTGATGATGAAGTCCATGAAGTGAAAGCTCTGGTTCTGAATAAACTAACGTCAGCATCATTTCCACTTCAGGTAGGACCCAGTGAATCCTCCTGGACAGAAGCAACGAGGCTGTTAGCATGAAGTTAGCGTGTTCAGACACCTGAGCAGAGACAGGTGAGCTGATACCGGTCTTCCAGGTCCTTGAAGTCCACAGAGGAGGGTCCAGATTGATCACTTTAATGGACTTTTTCCATCATTTCTGAGCCTCAGAACTTCATCAGTACAGCAGATAGACACATGACATTTAGGAGGAAGAACACATCTGAGTTCTGCTAGAACCTGACACCAGATCAGTTCTACATCCATCCAGGTGTCTCCGTCTGAACACTGGAAAAAGTCCATTAAAGTGATCAATCTGGACCCTCCTCTGTGGACTTCAAGGACCTGGAACTCTGGAACATTCACAGCATGAAGGCAGAACTTCATCTGTAACCTGTTGTGGTCGACCATCTGTCATACGTGTCGGATCAGAACCTAACAGAACCTGTGTCTGCAGCACGAGGAGGACTTCGAGGTGCGGAAGCGTCTGATTGGCCAGGCCATGGAGCAGCACGGCCAGCAGCTCATCACTCAGCTCATGCACTCGTGCTGCTTCTGCTTGCCGCCGTACACGCTGCCAGACGTCGCCGAGGTCCTGTGGGAGGTCATGGTGTTCGACAGGCCGGTAGGTGGAGACACTGGGGCGGGGCGGGTGGGTCGGAGTAGGTTCTGAAGGTTCTAAAGGGTCCGCTCTGTCTCTGTTCCCAGACGTTCTGCCGCTGGCTAGAAAATGCTCTGAAAGGTTTACCGAAGGAGACGTCAGGAGGAGCTGTGACGGTCACCCACAAGCAGCTGACCGACTTCCACAAGCAGGTCACCAGGTGAGCCGCAACACGGGCAACCGCAGCAACACGGGGGGGAGAACAACACGGGCAACCGCAGCAACACGGGGGGAACAGAGAAACACGGGCAACCGCAGCAACATAAGGGGGACAGACAGCAACACAGGCAACCGCAGCAACACGGGGGGACAGAGAAACACAGGCAACCGCAGCAACACGGGGGGACAGAGAAACACGGGCAACCGCAGCAACACAGGCAACCACAGCAACACGGGGGGAACAGAGAAACACGGGCAACTGCAGCAACATAAGGGGGACAGACAGCAACACGGGCAACCACAGCAACACAAGCAACAGTCAGCAACATGAGGGGAAAGGGCAACACAAGTATCAGCAGCAGCTTTAATAACAAACAGCAACGTGGGCAACAGGTTGCTCTGTCCACAGTTGATCTGGTCACACAGACAAACAGTAAGTTGCTGCTGATGTTGTTGCGTTACGACAACCTGAACGTGGACAGATCACAGGAGTTTGAGGCTTCACTCAGTTTCTATCAGCTGTTGGTCAACATGTTGCCTGTTAACCAGTAAAAGCATCGACCCATGAGATCGGCTCCGCTATCACTGTTTAGGTTCTGTGGTTGCCATGGTTACACTGAGCCGAAAGGTGACAGGTCAACAAATAAAATGTGTGAAGTTTGTTTTCACGTTGACGAACTGAAATGTTTCCGTCTGATTCGTCTGAATATGTCAGGTGTGTTTATCACCTGCAGCTTTCAGGGAGTTTTACCTTCACATTAAGGACCAATGAGCTGCGAGTTTGGCAGGTTCCTGTTCGGTTCAGGTGTTTAGAAGCAGAGCAGTGACTCATCGGAGGCGTTCAGGGACACGGCAGACGGTACGGAGCCTCTGATTGGCTGCCGCAGCATTCCAGGGTCGGCGGGTTGTTGTCGAGACTCGCCCGCCTGAAGGTGGAACGCAGAAGAACTGGAGTCCAGAGCGAACAAGTTCAGACAACATCTGAGCTGAGAGGAGACTCACCTGAGCTCCAGCAGGGAAGGTTCTAGACTCAGCGTGAGAGCAGGAGGGTCCGGAGTCACCTGGACACCTGAGACCGAGTTAAACATCAGGGTTGATGCTCAGCAGAGAGCAGCTGTGAGGTTTGGCAACAGCGCCACCTTCAGGAACCGGGCCGGTCAGAGCGGTTACCATGGTAACCACAGCAACGCAACTCAACACAACCGTTTCAACGCCTGTGTCGCTTCTTCTGTTTCAGTGCTGAGGAGTGTAAACAGGTGTGCTGGGCCATCAGAGAGTTCACCAGACTGTTTCGATAGCTGCAAGCTTCACACAACACCAGGTAAC